ATCTCTATGACTGCTGTAATCTTTGTTTTTCCCCCTCATCATATCATGTAAAGAGAACAGTATATTCAATATTTTTAATCATGCTAGGATTTGTATACCGCATCGACAATACTGTGTGAAACAAGCCCACGGCAATTTCCACTTGCATTATTATTATTTTAGCTGTTATCATTATTATTATTATTTCCATTTTATATGCTGCATGTTTTTGACATTACCCCTATTGTAAATGTTGAAAATTTTTCTGTGTGATTAATTTTATTTATAATTTGAGGAAATTAGATGCAATATTGTGATTAATGCTGGAAATTCCATTCTGTATCACAAGTACTGCTTTTTGAATTAAGTAAATCATTATTATTATTATTTTTATTATTATATCTTCCTATTTCAACAATCATGCTTCAGCCACAATCGAAAAAGCAAGATACGCATGCCTTCATCATTCTGAAATTAGTTTGGAATTCTTCTACACTGCATTCAGCCAGCCAGCATAAACAACAAGATTCGGACTTCAATCAACACAAATGTGAAATGTGTCAGTCAGTTAATGCTTCTATACGGGTCAGACACTTGACCAGCATGTCAGTCACGAAAAGGATTTCCAGCAAGTTACAGACTTTTATCGACTGCTGCCACCTTTCCAATATACACATTGGATGGCCTGTCAGAAAGAATCAGCGACAAGAAACTCTGACTGACAAAAACCGACAGACGAGTGGCAATTGCTCAACAGGTATGTAGGAGGAAACGGAGATGGATTGATTGGATATACGTTGAGTAAAGAGGCTGTCGAGTGACATCACGCCAACGCTTGAGTGAAATTTGAATGGGAAGCGACGAGTGGGTCGTCGGAGCCAGGATGACATGTAGTAGATCGGGTGTCCAGGGGGAGCAGGAGATGAGAGGTTTTTGGTCATTCGAAGAACTAGCCAGCTGGAGAGGACATCAGAGAATAAAAGAAAGTGTTAATGTTTTGTTGAAACCCTATTTTCCCTCTCGGAACACAAGGGAATAATATTACTACTAATAATATATGCATCTCACCAACTGTCTCAAAATCTGACTCCCACATTCCTTGTCTTCATGATTAGAATATTAAATAATAATAACACTTGTACTGTAGAGTAAAGAATGACAAGCTGTTGGCAGAAAAGCTCTTACCAAGCTAGTAGCTCATGAAAATTCCTTTAATTGTGCATTTACAAAATTTAGTCGCCTTACCAATTTCATTTTATGAACTTAATATATATACATCCATACAAGCATAATGGATCCGATCTGTGACGTCAGGAATTCACTCCAATTATAATGGAGTTACTGTTTTTTAGTCACTGGGATGATAAATCTTTCCTACATTTTTTTTCTGATGTTCAACTGAGATTCCTCAAATATTTGAAAGAAATGCACGTTTTACTGTGAACTATGAAATATAGAGAATGGAGTACTGACTCTCTATTGATTTATTTATTTAGTTTTGATGTACAATTTACTGAAACATTATTCAAAAGGCATAAATACCATTTCTGCCTGAAGTCTTCAATTGTTTCTGTTTAGAATCTGTTTTAAAACAGGCTCCTTTTTGACTGGACACTAGTCAGTAACTAGTGTAATGTTTCTATTCCTATCTTTGGTTATGGTGAGCTATCTAGTGGCATGGTAGGCACAATGGAAACTTGACTGGTAGAATTCAGTCTGCACAAAACAAAGGACAAGACACAAAAATATCGAATACCGTCAGTCCTACAGGAGGTCAATCGTAGGCCCAAATAGCTGGCTCAGTGGTAACGTCTCTGGCTGGGTGACGCGGGTTCGAATCTCAGAAGGAGGAACATGAGTTCCTTCAAGGTGGTCGCAGATATATACTGCCAACTGGTGAGTACTAACAAGCCCGAAAGCAGGGTCGAAGGTTTCCTATAGCCGGTTACCTCCAACCAATAATTTCAGCATCGATTTTAAGCACGTCAGTTCTTTTTATATGGGTCAAAAACTTGTCTAGTGCATCACGAAAAGGATATCCAGCTGCCAACTGTAGACTTTCATCAACAACTACCCTATTTGCTGGCTTCATTTGAAGGTCAGATGACCGTCCAGAAAGAATTCGGAGCAGGAAACTCTGGTATTAAACCAGTCATGGACCTATTGTTCAACAAAATTCCAAAGAAATTGGAGACTCTTCGGATGCGTGCTAAGAAAACTGTCGAATGACATCACGTGCCATACCATTGAGCGAATGGAACACGAATGGGAAACAATGAGTTCCGTATTTTTCCAAGTGTGACTTGAAAGAGATCGTGTGAGGAGCCGGAGGAGATGAGTGATTATGGGAGATCTTGAGGTGACCTCAGAGAACACGACAAAACACAGGTGTCCCGTCGAAGCCCTATTTTCAATTCAGAACTCAAGTTGGCATTCGTAATCACTAGGATGTAGCAGGGCGGGGGCGTGAGGACAAGTACTCGCCGAACACATTGGCTAGTGGTCACGCTATGTTGTAAGTCACTGGAAGTTTGAATTCATGGGGTGGTCATTGTGTCAGGTCACAGTGGATGAATGGTCTAAGAGCTAGCCTTGTAGCCAGAAGGCTAAAGGTTCGAACCAACGTGGTGGATGTGTACCACTGAAGAGTCCCAAACTAGGACGGAGGAAACAGCTGTCCAGCAGTCCACGGTGGGTTTCTAATTGTTTTCTAACCAATATCAATCATTGATGAAACCCTGTAAGCAATCAATCAAAGTCCCACAAACCAATGCTTGAGTAAAAATAATAATAATAATGATCCTGGACTATAAATGAGGCGAATTCGTTCCGTTAACATTCTGGATTATATATATACATGTATAATAGGAAAGCATTTTTAAAATTATTTCTGTCCAAAGAAACGCTATTAAAAAGAAATAAATTTACTTAATTGTTTGATTTATCAGCAGAAGAAAATTCACATAAAATACTGTATATATATGCGTGGCCAAGTTAAACTTTAAGCATCACTAACTACCAATGGAGTGCGACCGCACCAATGAGCGGTGCGGTGAAACCTGGTAGATAATGCTCTCATCATCAATAAAATATGCTCATCAAAGTGTACTGCTAAAAAATGGGATATCTGGCAAGTTTCAGCTTAGGTTTTTCGGGAAGATTAAGTTACGCTTTAAGCCTAGGACAACTTCGGGTTAGCATTGATATAAGAATAAAACTTGTGCACTGTGGTAGAATGTAATTCCATTATGGGTAAATTTTATTTTGATAGAGTCTCACAGTGTTATACAGTAATGCTTACTGATGACCTTTCGAGCACAATTTATTGCTCATAATCATATCAAGGTAATCACACGACTTCCTAAATTCATTTATATAATTCCGTTGTTTTCACTTGATTTTCACTTGATTTGATTGGTAGTAATATTTTCCATATTTCGGGTATGAGTGATGAATCATTCCTATTGCATGTGTTGGGTGTAGATTCGATGAACAAGGATTCAGTAATCAACCTCTCTCCACCTACCTAGATTACTTTTTAGAATTTTAACCCTCTCACACCCCATTGTGTGGTTGTGTGTTAATGCATGCATTGCAACTGCTGAGCTTTTTTCTAAATTACTTATCCTCTCTGGGTCAACCATTCCTTTTTTTTTATTCCTTCACGTTCCCAGTGGAACATAGGGCTTCAAGCTAGAGGTTTGAAGTTCCTGTAGTAGTGTTTATTTTTACAGGATGAGGTTGCTAGCCTCATGCCCAACCTTTCCCCTTTACCAGCATTATTTCTGGCTTAGCGAGGTAAAGGAGTGCGTCGGCCGGGGATCGAACCCCGGACCATGTGCATGGTCGGCGAGCATCCTAACCGCTATGCCACCGACGCACTACAACCATTCTTACCTTAGCTAAATTCTTATGTTCTGACAATCTGACTAACCTCGACCTACTAGTTTGACCTATGTAGTTGACCTCACAATCATTGCAGGGTATTTTGTAAATTATATCATTTTGTCTAATTGTGTCAACTGGGTCCTTTAACCTACAGAGCTTGTCCCTGAGTGAGTTTGTAGGTTTAAATGCCACCACCCTAATTCCTGCTTTATTGAGAATCCTACGTAGGGTCTCAGATGTCTCCTCTTTATATGGTATAACTGTAGATGACTTATATTCTATCTTGTTTATATTATTATTACTAGTTTCACAATTCTTCGGGTTAGGTTAACTTAATAAAGGCAACATTAGGAATGGGTCGAGTTAAATTACAGTTAGTTTAGGGATATTTTCATGTTGGGGTTAGTTTCAGGAAAGATTAGGGTTATTGTTATTTATACGAGTTTGACCACGGATTGAAAACCATGGAGTACTGCCATGCAGTTGTTTCATCCGAATTTTTTTGGGAATCATCGGCAGTGCGAATCCACCACCAGAGTTCGAACCCAGGACCTTCCGGTAACAAAACAAGCTGGCTCGTATACCATTCAGCCAACGCTGGAACGAAATTCAATGGCCAGTCCATGAATTCTAACTTCTACCAATTCGTGATTTAGCGTGACTAGCACCAACCAATGTTATCGGTAGGAACTCCATCCTCACTCCCAACTGAATAGACCTCACTGGTCACGACTTCTTACTAGAACTCCAGGAAACTCTGTCCTGTAGCGAGTCACCTAAATAATGTGGTTAAATTACTCTGTTGAATGTAATTCCATTGTGGGTAAAATTTATTTTGATAAAGTCTCACAATGTTTGTTATACAGTAATGTTTACTGATGACGACGTTTCGAGTACTCTGTTGATACTCCAACCTAAAACTGAGAGCTACTTTTATCACTTGCAGGCAAAAAGGTATCCTGTGTAATAGTTTTCTACAGTTTCTATTTATTGTTGTTTCATAAATGCCTCCTTCACATGATTGGTCCGTTCAAGGTCATTCGTTGATTGGTAGTTAGTTAGTGGTGCTTATAAAGTTTAACTTTGCTAATATGCATAGCAAAACAACAAAAAAAAATAGAAATCGAACTTACAATAAAGTTCTTTGACATGTTGCACAACGAAAGCATGTTTTATGATAGACTCTTTCACCAGTAGATATACGATCTACTGGATATATGCGTTTACCACAATCATAGCATAAATCTATTAAGGGCTAAAATTTATTAAAAAAAACATAAACAGCAGAGAATAAAAATAGAAATCAAACATGTGTACTATTAGAAAATAAAAACGCACAATTAAACAATTTGATAACAGATTTGATCACGCGTTGACACCATTTAGAGAACCATTGGAAAATCATTAGTGGGTTATTGGACAGCTGTGTCTTCCTATTGCCTGGAACTTTTCAGAAGTAGGTACCTAATGCCAGCGTTCCAATCCAGAACCTTCAAGTTACAAGGTGAGCTGGTTGACCGATGGCTCATGCATTCCAACTTCTGACAATTCCTGGTTGGATAGTCTACAAGCTCACCTCCAAACCGGAAGGTACTCGGTTTGAACCTTGGAGGTGGATGAGTAGATACACAGACAGGAGGCGAAATTACTTTTTTTTTAATAATGATTTACTTTATTCCAAAAACAGTACTTGTGATACAGAATGGAATTTTCAGCATTAATCACAGTAATATTGCATCTAATTTCCTGAAATTATAAATAAAGTTAATCACACAGAAAACTTTTCTACATTTACAATAAGGTTAATATAAAGAAAATTAGAAAACATAGAGCACTTAAATGGAAAAAATAGTAATGATAGCAGCTAAGGTAATGATAATAAAACAAGTGGAAATTGCCGTGAGCTTGTTTCACACAGTATTGTCGATGCGGTATAGAAATCCTTGCATGATTAAAAATATTGAATATGATGTTCTCTTTACATGATATGGTGAGGGAAAAAACAAAGATTACAGCAGTCACAGAGATAAGTTGGTGTTTGCAGTTATGAAAGTGAAAACAAAGAATCAACAGGACCATAAATATAATAGAAATAATAAAAGTAAAACTTCAAGGTATATAAAGATGGATGGAGGAGATTGTTTATTTACTAGATGAAAAAAGGTTAGTCAATCCTTTCCTGACGCTATTTTCATCACATAAAATACGTGCCAAGTATGGTATCATAGAATTTTTATACTTAGACGTGCGAGCATACAGTTTTCTGAAGTTACTTCTTGTTCTACCTGAGGAGATGCAAGGTGAAAGTTGAGGGTGAAGTGGATGCTCCAAGTCAGACAAAATCCCTTAAGCAAATTTACTGCACGAAGTCAAGTGCCTATCGACAACGACGTTAACTATGTAGTCCACTGGGACACCACTCATCCTACTGACAGTCTTCAGCATTCTACGAATTGTGACAAAGTCCTTTTTAAGCAAACCAGGAAAGAATAAGGTTGAACAATAAAGAAGAATAGGTAGGATGCAAGAGTTTATGAACTGTAAGAGGAGGAGTTGAGTTATACCCTAGTGCCTTAACTTCTTAATGTAAAATGCCATTTATTCCTTATTTCTCGAATGTAAAATACCGGTGTCAGCGACAGGACAACGTATCTTTGCTGAATTGAAGGCTGTTTTAACAAAAAAATATCACCACTTGATTGGTAAAATGTTGTGTATTGTATATTGTAATATCCTATATGTGTATATTAGAGTAGAGCCAGAGCGAGAGAGAGAGATAGAGACGAGGATCTAATTGAAAAGTAAATATTTCTTCAGTCGGTCCTTTTACTTTCTAAAGTGCTTTCCTTATCGAGTGATTTGTTTTGCAGGTATTTGATTGGTTATAGGTTTGATAACGAGATCATATAAGTCAAAAAGAAGTTTCTGTAGCAACAGAGATCTCTGAGAGCGAACCAACCACGAACCGATTGTGAAACAAGTAGGTAGGAAGAAATGGAGATAGATTGGCTAGCCATACTCTGAGGAAACATCACTAGACAAGCCATTGTTCGAGTGTAACCCAAAAGGGAAGCGGCGAGTTGGTCGTCAGAGCAAGGGTGATTTGGAGGAGGTTATGTGAAGAGGAGATGAAAACGTGTGGGCAGACTTTGAGCCAGGTGAAGACACTAGCAGAGAACCGGACGCAATGGAGACGCGCGACTGAAGCCCTATGTTCCTCTAGGAATTAAAGGAAACAATAATAATAATAATCAGTCACAGAACCACTGAACAAAAAACTGCCTGCTGCTTCATCCTAGTTCAGGACTGTTTAGATATACGCACCGGCCGCCACGTTTTGAACCTAGAACCTTCCGTTTTTTAAGGATAGCTGACTTGTAGACAATTCAGTCAATGGCACCAGATCTATTGTCATATGAACTCCAACTCATGTCAATTCGCGATATATAAAGGTTGATAACAGTTAAATCTAAAGCCAAGTTTTACTTATAGACATTAACGCTATTAGGCTATTGTGACCGTGGACCATTAGGTTGGGTCTCAGTGGCCGAATGGTCTACGAGCTCAACTCCTAACTGGAATGTCCTGGGTTCGAAATCCCGTGGTGAGTGCGTACTTTTGAAGAGTCCCAAACTGAGATGAAACAGCTTCCTGTTGGTTTACCATTGGTTCTCTAAATGATGTCAGCTCATGATTATTACTGTGATTTTCGTCAATATCATATCTAAGCTTTATTATCAGTGTGTGCGTTGAACACTAGTCATTTAAGTATATATGTAACAACAATACACGTAAACTGTTCATTCAAATATATCACGTTCTGTTAAACTAGTCACTGCATCAACAGAATATTGTTGTTATTACTACTACCATCAACTTATTTTGTACAAGTAGCCTTCCGCATGAGTCATTAATGTAATTGATTCACACTGGAGGGTGTTGTTTACATGAATGACCTATGTTCAATTGTCTAGGGGTTTAAATATGTTTGTACGTGAACACCAATGTCTGTTTGTGTGCTTGTGTGTGTGTCTGTGCTTTGAAAAACCAGTTAATCGACAAACACTCCAGGCTTGTTTACACAAAAATGTTTTGCAATGTCATTTCAGTTAGAGTTTCATTTCGTGATTTATAAAGCGTTTTGTTTCTGAACAGTGGAAAGCTTCAACAGTGAAAAGAAAGACATTTAATGGCGTAATCTATAATGGTCGTGCGTATAAGTAAAGACATATATTCAGTGGGATCAGTAGCACATGATTCGTTTTGATCTGAAAATCAGTCAATATTCTATTTCACCTCCTGTTTATATTTTCCATTATGGGTAAATTTTTATTTTGATAGAGTCTCACAGTGTTATACAGTAATATTTACTGATGACGTTTCGAGCACAATTTATTGCTCATAATCATATCAAGCTATGATATGATTACAGGACACACGACTTTGTCAAACTGAAGCAAGATTCACAAATCATCGGATTTTTAACAGTCGATGTTTAAAAATTCATATAATTCCGAAATATTTACGTCTACGTACTCCAATTACTTCAAGTAAAATAACATCAGCTGCCGAAAATGTCAGTAGATTATGTCTAAGAGAAGAATTACATCGAGTTACTGTGAAACTAAATAATATACGAAATGAAATTGAAAAACTCAAACACAAACTCAAAGATATGATCAATGACAAAGATTATACAATTATTCTTGAAACATCCAAAAAAGCTAGAGAATCTGCATTAAGAAAATCAAAAAACACACAAATCAAAAATTCAACAAACTTATTGAAGGAAAGAACACAGCAAATGAAATTGATGTCAATGCTTCATCCTCTATCGACAAAACAAAGTGGGTGATCAACCTCTCATCAAGGGAACTAAGCTCCAGTGAGATAAAAGTACTGGAGAAAGGACTAAATTTCAACGTAACAGTGAATAAATTGAAACCAGAGGATGTCATTCCTAACATAGAAGTAGCACTAGGTTCAATAGATAAAGCAACAGCAGAAGAGGTTCGAGCACAATGTGCATTAACCCTAAAAAATCAAAAGAACATAAGAATTTAGCTAAGGTAAGAATGGTTGACCCAGAGAAGATAAGTAATTTAGAAAAAAAGCTCGGCAATTGCAATGCATGCATTAACACGCAACCACACAATAGGGCGGGTGGGAGAGGGTTAAAATTCTAAAAAGTAATCTAGGTAGGTGGAGAGAGAGGTTCATTACTGAATCCTTGTTCATCGAATCTACACCCAACACATGCAATAGGAATGAATCATCACTCATACCTGAAATATGGAAAATAATACTACCAATCAAATCAGGTGAAAATCAAGTGAAAAACAATGGAACTATATAAATGAATTTAGGAAGTCATGTGATTACCTTGATATGATTATGAGCAATAAATTGTGCTCGAAACGTCATCAGTAAATATTACTGTATAACACTGTGAGACTCTATCAAAATAAAAATTTACCCATAATGGAATTACACTCTACCACAGTGCCCAAGTTTTATTCTTATATCAATGTTTATATTTTCATATACTGGATTTACCAGGATGTGTATGTTACTGGTCACTGACCAACTGGTCTGACTACTGACACTTGATTTAACAGACGCTAGATGATAAAAACCTGAGAGTTCAAATTTTTCTTTCTGACTGAAGATCAAATGGCCAGAGAGAATCAGAGACAAGAAACTCTGTCGATGAACAAACCAACAAAGAGCCGGTTGCTCAACAAATATGTAGCAGAAAGTGCAGATGGATTGATCGGGTATACGTTGTGGAGGCCATCGAATGACATCACACGCTATATAGGCCATCACTCTAGTGGAATCCCTATGGGAAGTGATGAGTGGCTTGTCGGTGAGACTGTGGCATGCAGGAGATCGTGCAAGGGGAGGGGGAGGAGATGAGACATTATGGTCAATCGTGGACGCAGGTGAAGAGAGTAGAAGAAAGTAGAGACTAGTTGCTGAAGCCTTATGTTCCATTCGGAACCAAAGCAAATGATAATAAGATAACATACTATTATCAAAACCATATATCACAACAAGTGCCAGAAGCATTCAAAAAGGGCGTCAACCAAAAATTAAAACAAATAATAAGGATTAAGTCGAAGAGCGATATACAAATCTTAGAATAATGATATATATATATATGTCAGTGAAAAACGGTAAACATTACAAAATTGGTGGAAATATTGAAAGAAGCATCAATATTGCAAGCAGCAGATTATTGTTGTCGGGATG